GGTCACGGCCCCAAGCCTGCCAGAGCTCAGGAAGCCTTTGGACAATGCTCTCAGGCACATGGTGTGATTCTCGGAGTTGTCTTGTGCTTGACTTGATGATCCTTGTGGGTCCCTTCCAGCTCAGGATATTCTATTATTCCATGGTTCTAACCTTCCCACTGAACTGATATCAGTAACCAGGATTGCCATAGTGTCAGGTCTGATGGCTGGATTCACGTTACAGGCCTTCACTAGAATCTCTTCATCTTGCCAAATCCATGCTTTGTACTTTACTGGCTTTTCTCAGATCGTATCCAAGTATTTCTTAAGTATTAAAGAGTATATGAAAAAAAATAATCAGAACTAGGTTGCTGCTAGGTTGGTAGCTGTGTACTTACCTTCTGTAATATTTTTTTTTTTAACCTTGGACTTCAGAAGTTTAAAATTTCTATGAAATCTGCATGTGCTAAATTATCATGTGTTAGATGATACTTACTGTGCACACATTTTGAACCATATTGCATACTGTGATCTAATAATTTTCTAAAGGCTATGGAAAATATCCATATTTCCTGGAGAAGCGGGGTGATACTTTGAGCTTTGGGCATGCTAGGGTTTCTCTCAGAAATCTGAATCAGAAAGATTAAAGTACAAAATTACAAGAGCTCTGTGTTTTCAGATCAGGACCTTTACCAAGTGAGCAGATTTGCAGTGGTAACATAAAGGCAGCATTCGACCTTCTCCACCATTCTCCACCCCTTATAAAGGAAATACATTATGGTGGCTAGTTAGTATTCATAAGAAGTCACTAAAGAGATGATTTGCCTTGGAATAAATATGATTGAATTAGAAATGCATAGTACTGATACCCTGACCTCAAGTAAATGGGTTCCTTATTTATAAAAATGTACCTAGATATACTTCTCTGTTAGGCTGTTAATTGTGTTTGTATATTAAGTAAATATGTAACTCAATTCCAAGAGTAATTGAAAGGTTTTATATAGGAAGATGAAAGGGGAATGGCACTTCATTCAGACTTTTGAATAAACTAATCAGACTACTCTGAAAATTGATATATATTCGCATTTTAAAATATGAAATACAAAATGTGTCTGCTTTCTTATGAAGTAGATATTATGCAGTAGAACTCTTACAGAGTAGATCTATTATTTTTAGGGGGTTAATTAAAGATGATTGTAGATTGTCTTCTGTAAGGAATTAATGTTCAGCTTTGGCAACGCTGTTTCTTTAACACTGTTCTGCAGTTAACGTTTCTAAGCTCTGAAACAACTGCTAAAGTAGTTGAAGTAAGTAAATAAGTAATAAAAAGCACATCAAAGTAGTTATGATGAGACAGCCAGATGGCAGAGAATTGCAGTTCTTGCTGTAATTTTATCAAAATTACTATTGTCATGGCATGTTAGTTTTCATAAGAATTTGTACAGTCAGTGATCTTATACAGACAAATTAATTTCAGGTTCTCTCATGTGTAGTCGCATATCAGCTATACTTGAGCACGCACAAAGGAAAATTAAATAATCATAGTCACATAAACTTGAAAAGCGGCACAATTTAAGTTTACTATTCCATAACGTCTTGGGATCAGCGATCATTTTTCTTATGGTAGACTCAATTTGATCTACAGCAGTTCTGCCATTATATGGTTTCTGCTGCATTTAATCTTCATTATGAAAAGATATAGTATCACCTAATAGGGTGGAATTAGTAGTAATGCACAAGCATTGTGATAATTCCTCTGAGTTATATCATTTGGTGGAGTTTCGTACTTTTACCTCTCTCATAAAGCTACTGGGACGAAAATAATTGAACCATTTAAGTTTCATGAATATGTTATCATTACATGTTCTCTTCTTTGGTGAAGGATACCCTTTATGTGTCTTATAAACGCTTGCAGGGGAGACAAGATTGAGCGTTGCATACAGTGAGCGTGTAATCTGAATTTGATTTGAGTCCCAGGCAGGATAATGGCAGTTTGTTTCCCCAGAGGAGGAAGCCCCGGGGCAGACCACGAGGGGATTCCTCTGCTGAAGCTGGGCTTTTTAGGCAAACGGTTTTTCCTCCTGTTTCTCTCACTGCACGATTATATGTGAAGCCCTCCCCATTAAGAAATGGTGGCTGTAGGACAGGTGTGCAAGCATATAGAATTTAAAGTGCTTTTAAAAGTCACGTGGTCTGGCTGCAGCAGATATCTGTTGTGTCCTTAGTCAATTTAAGGCAGTGTAACTAAAGACTACTGTTTGTTTTTGGGGTTTTTTTTTGAGTTACTGGCCCCATGACTTTAGGACTAACTTTTCACAGATTCTTATTTCTCTGTGTTGGCACATGAGCTCCTCAATAAAAAGAGCTGAATAGGCTTATGGAGAAATAATCAGACTGATGGTGACAGACCTTGACGGTGCTGGAAGCTCATCAGTTTTCTTTGTAATGCCAAGGAAAACAACAGATGTAAAGGAAACTTAAATCTCAGCTACTTTGGCGAAATTTTATTTACTGCAATACAAAATCAGTGTAAGGAGGCAATTTTAATGATTCTATTTGATCAGATTTCTTTCTCCACCCTTGTGTAGCTCTCCAATCTATCTATACAGTCAAATTAGGTTCATAGGTTTGTGCCTGTTGTTCTCATTGATGTCAAAATACCCTAAGATGATGTTTGAATCACTGAAAGAAGTTAAATTCTAGTGGTTGTGTAGCGAATGTGTCATCACAAGAATATGGCAGAATACAATGGAGGCATAACAGAAAATGAGATTATTTCTACATAAACAGTTTGTCATTGATATATCTGAGAGAGTTCATTTGGCAGGGGAGGTAGTTATTCCCACGATTCTAAGAGCAATTGCATTGTAGTGGGCAGGTTGTTTCATTTTATCCCATGTCTGACTTCACTTGTGGATCTGTCCAAGTTCTACTGGACCGCTAGAGTTTGTTACTGAATGGATTTTCCTGCTGCTACAGGATGAAATATGTTTTATACACAGAAGCTTTGTCATGTACTGTGTGCAGTTTTTTTTATTCTGCTCCTTCACTTGCGTGTGGTTTCCAGCCTGCAGATCATCTGCAACTTGCAGGTACAGAGAGGAAAAAAAATTCCAACAATATATTGATTTTTGATGAGCTGATAGTATGTTTTCTTGAGGTGGTAATCAATAAATAGAAAGCTGATATTATACTGTAAAACGAAGCTGTGTTCAACCCCGCTTTAATCTCATGTATATTTATGCAAAAAAAAACCCAACCAAAAATCACTCTAAGGAATGACAATGATTTGATGAGATTATTTTAGTTTAAAACAGCGACAATAAATACACAAAACCTAGTGACACGATTGAAACAAATCCCTGTGAGAGAAAACTACCAGAAATAGAATAGTTGAAAACTAGCATTGAAACACCTGAAGGGAGGGAAGATCGAAAGAGGAAAAAGGAAAAATTAAGCAAGTAATAACATGAGCAGCTGGAGAGAAAAAGAGAAACAAAATAGCACTTGACGAGAGAAAGAAAAGAAAAAAAACCCACATTTTGTTCAAAACCTGTTATTACCAAGAAACAGTTTTCAATGTGGCTAAAAATCATGTTTAACAACACATCCAAGGCTTAATTCATTAAACACCCAAAAACCATGAACTTCTCTTCTTGGAGGTTAGTGTAAATAGTTTTAATCCTGTAGTTTTTTCCTATTAAGCTGTGTAAAATTTAAATAGTATTTATTTCAAACAAATGCTTATATTTATCTGTTGTTTAGTGGATAAATTATTGGTAGCAATGGAAAATAAACAACAGGGAACAAATAATCTTAGTACAGGGGACAAAGTGTCACCAGCATGTTCCTGGATACTGATTCAGTGAACATATATTTTAATATGTTTAGGGGTTTTTTTAAAGAATTAATAATTGATCTTGGGAAATATTATCTAAAAAAAATTGTACATAGGATCTATACCATGAATGACTTTTAATTTGTCCCAAAGAATCCTGAAGAAGTCAAGGTGGATCCATGTTTGAATCTACAGGATTGAGGTTTATCTGTCTTCTTCATACTAGTGTGTATATCTAGTAGTTTTACTACTTCTAAAACCTGGTAAAATTACTCTTATATTCCACTTTTCTGTTCTCTACATCACCTGCTGTTGTTCTGAGGCTGAGGATAGGTATGGATTTGCCTTCTTTAAAGACAAGATTGTAAAATAGTGCCATTCCATTTGAAATCAGTTGAAACAAATTTAGCAACAGGGTGGAGCACATCTGATCTACTCTAGGAGATCTGAAGCAGATATTTCCAGCTATTGAGTGACTCCTCCTGGAGAATCCGTGTCCAGTTTAGAAGAATTCTCAGGGAAGCCTCCTGGTGATTCTTCTTATTTGATCTAAATGACCCCAAACAAACCCACAACAAAACTAAACCAAACTTTCCTGTACTTTTTCTTTCTTTATGAATAATTGTGAGGTCTAAGTCTGGCTTAGAGGGAGTGGAATGTGTCTTGTATAATTGAAACACCTTTATGCAGTTCTATTCATTAGCTTAGTTATGTTGGATTTGTCTTTCAGAGTGTTTCCTGAAGAAACAGGGGGAACTGGGTCATTGCAAATACTTGACTAGGTGCTGTTTGATTAGCTGGAAAATTTCTCCTAGAAAACATTTAGTTTAAATAGGGAGAACTCTTCCCAAATGCGTATTAAGGGGGAAAAAAAAAGAAAGAAGAAAAAATTACAATACGAACAAGCAAAACCAAAAATGCCCAACCAAACCCAATCACAAGATAAATCTAATTTCTAACAAAAGCAACTGATGTGCAAAACTGGTGATAAACAAGCACATTTTGGCTTCCTCACCCAAAAGCCGTGTTAGTCCTGTAAATGTTGCTCTGCTCGTGTGTTTCTGGAGAAGGCAGGATTTGTGTCCGTCGTTTATGGAAATGGCTTTGCCCCTCAGCTCTTCCTCCTGGCATTTCTGAGAGCAGCAGGGCAACTGTCAATGGTGATCAAACTTTCTTCAGGAGAGGCCACACAGAAGATCTTGGGCTCACAAAAGGAACAGCCGCCTTCTGCCAATGGATGGTGCCCTGGAGGAGAACACGGGAAGCAGCAGCAAACAATGTCAGTGGTAAGGAAGCAAAGGAAGCTGTGGAAGGTATGTTTTAAAAATACTGCTTTTTTTTTCAGCGTGTTCAGTGTCAGAAAAGTATATAAGCACTTACCTCTATACACAACACACACTTCTATATGTTTTTTTTTTACCTTTTATACACAAATATGTGGGGTTTTTTAGGTTGAGGGCTAAAAACTAATTTTTGGTTTGTTTTGTTTTAGCAGAGGACCTCATTTAGGAAAAAAGCCAAATCCAATAGCTGTCTGCTTTCAAAATGATTACTGCTTTGTCAAGATGTATATAGTCAGAGTACCTAACACTGATTATTAATTACTGGAATAACCAGTTCCTGATGTGGTAGAGCTTTAAGCAGGAGCCAGAGATCACAGCAATGGACAGTGAGATGCAGGGAGACAGCCCTCAATGTCTCTGTGCATTACACTTTATTGGCCTTGTGGCCAGTTGCAGAGTTGCCTGCTTGCTGTTCCTGAGGGAAAAATATTTTTAGACATGTTAAATGAAGCATACTCGTGTTGTTTATTTTTTTTAAGGTCCAGAAGTACACATAGCACTTTACAAATGTGTACCAAATCATAGTTCCTGCCCTGTAAGCACCTGATGCACAAAAAATCCTTTAACTGTATGGACTATCTAGCAACAACTACTTGGAAACAGCAGAGAGGGACAAAAAAACCACCCTCCTTACTTTCTTTCATTAGCTACACTAACACAGCACATAATTTCATTGTGTTGTATTTATCATACCAGTTATTTGTAGCAGGACAAAAAGACACTCTTGGTCATTGTGGTGGTTTGGTTGTTTTTTCCACAATTTATTCTAATTTTTAAAAATTACATATGTAGGCTACACATTAAATTGGCCATTATATTCCTTGCAACAAGGCTTTATCACCCAACTAAGAGACAACTCATGTACATTTTCATCTGCAGAGACAACACCCTGAGTGAATCATTTATGAGAGGGCACATGCCATCCTTAAATAAGTTCTCAGTGCACAGATATGCACTTGGGGTACATACACACACTTTTAAATTTTATTTTAGACTCTCATGAGTACCTGTGCTGCTCGTGTTGCTCTGTAGCTTGTGTGACAACATGACTTCTGGGCCCTTAGGCAATGCAGAGAGAGAATTCAGACAACTGCTGATTCTTCCTTCACTGTCAAGAGGGTCTTTTTCCTAAGAATTCCCCAATCAGTTGTTTAGGGACTCAGATCCTTAAGTTTAGTGTTTCTAACTTCGAGAGTACAGTGTGGGGTTTTTTTTCAAAGCACCAGGGGCACGTTAACTTCTGAGTAAAACACTCAGGGATGTGCAATGCCCTGTTCATCAGGAGGGATGAGGGAGCTCCAGCAAAGCACTCCTGCCTGATGGTGTGCAGCAATGACAATTTTGGAGTCCTTCTGAATCATTTAGTTCATACTCCAAAATCTATACCATATCTTCTTCTGCATGCTTGCAAATGGTTTTGAAATGGCTTCCTTTGTGGTTTTAATGAAGTAGTCATAATTTGTTAACAGAGGGTATCTTGTCCTGTCCAACGCTTTCTTATTGATTTTGCAGGGAACACAAATTGTTTCATTGGATATCTTAATTAAGAAAAGAATGTATTTGGCTGCTTTTAGAAAAATCTACATAATTTAGTGTGAACAGATTCCAAAAAGTTTCTCTTAGGCTTTATAGCCCTTTTGAGTGAATAAAATAGAAAAAAAAATGAAGAACATGAAGGAACATTACTGACAGAATATCCTTGAAGTAGCTAGAATTTCATGGAGGTGCAGAACAGAAATTGTGGTGAGGAGGCTACAATTTCTGAAGTATTTGAGAAACAATTCAGCATCAGGACTACATGCATGTTCATAGTGTAAATGGGAAATTTCTTCCAAGCCTAACCTACTTGTTATATTACTTAATATAAGAAAGTGATATAAATAATGGCTTTTACAGAGCCATTACATTATTTTTTTTGAACTTTTCTGTTTTGCAAGAAAGCAACTAGATGCTTGCTAAAGTATACAACTCACTCTTTGTGGTTTTTATTAAAATTCCCAATAGAATTAATGTATATCTATCCTTTGTAATATATTTGTATATTGAAAGTAAATATATTTAAAAAAAATTAGAAATATATACTTTAAAATGAAAATTCTTTTGAAGCTTCTTAACAACCTTTGTCTGTTGCACATGAGAACAGAGGAGGCTCTTCTTGGGGAAGTGTAAGCCCTGACCTGTGCCTCTCTTTCTGCAACCAAAGCAAAGAAACCATCAGATGGAAACACTTTTCCTCCTGTTTTTATCACAAGAGCATACCTATTGTTATAAACTAGTTAAGCTTTTGCCATGTTTGAGAAAGGACACATGCCTACTTCTCTTCCCAAGTGTGTATCATCTCTGCTCAGTTCCCAGGCTTGTAGAGACTCTCTCAAACACCTCAGGACTTGCCTGGATGCAGCTCCCCAACGCTTCTTAAAACAACTGTGTCTGAGGAGGTGTGAACCGACAGGAAGGAGCAGGATGAAAAAGTAAAAAGAGGTGGTGTTTGAAGCAAATTTCTTCCATCCTACTGTAAGTCTGGAGCAACCTCTGAGCTACTGAGTCGCTGAGTTTTATATTAAACACTTTCTTTTGTAACCTCTTTGTAATTTTCACTTCTTGTGATTTTTATCCTTCTGTGAACATCACCTTCCTGGCTGGTCACATTAATCAAGAGGAACTCATGATGTTCAGATGCTCGTGATATAATGGTTTCACAGAGACCAGGCAGCTCATTTGATTATAAAAAGCGCTTATTATTATTATTATTGTTGTTGTTTAAGTCATCCAACCATTCATTTAATCTGAAAGATCCAAAGCCTAAGTGTTTTCAAGTTCAGGGTCTGCCTGAATGAATTAAACTGTATACCAAGTTTGAGGTACCAGAGTTCTGGAATCGTCAGGGTTTTGGTTAATTATTTTAGGTCATGATTTTTCTTGGTCATGTTCTACTATTAGAAAGGCTGTGAAATTTTTATTCTGCCCAGCCCCCTGCCTTTCAGGTTGCTTTTTGATTTCCCTAGCAGACATCTAAAGAATTTGTCAGAAGAAATGGGGAAATCACTCGGTAGAACATACTGCTGTTGCAAATGATGCTTTTTCTCTTTTTTTTGGTGCTTCAGACTTCTTTTAAAGAAAGAGAAGTGGACTGTAGGTCTTTCATAACCTCAGGCAGGACACTCAAATCCACACATGATGTGCATGACTGACCCCAAAGTCTAACTGCTTTTAAATTGTTCATAAACTGTATGACACTACTGTTACTGTACCAGTGAGCAGACACTTTAGCTTTGAAGGAACTGACTAAAGCAGCTGCAGTGTGACAAACCTCCATAGAGTAAGCACAGCCTTGCTAACTAGACTTTTAAAGACAGATTATTACTGCTAACGAAGAATTTGATTTTCTATAAAATACTTTCTCTTAGGACAGAAAGACATTCCGACGATGAAAATTCTCTGATGGGGTACGAAGACTTAATAAACCAAATTTAATGCAGTACTATGTAATTGGGAACTACTGCTGGTACTGTGGTTCCCTTCGCTCTAATCCCTAGAAATATCTGTCAGACACTACTTAATTTTAAGTAATTTAGAAAATTATGTACGTTATACGTCATCCCATTCTGGAAGACGCTGCATCCCAAGCCATGTAAATTTAATTATGACTAAAGCCAATATGTTGCACAGAAATCAGTGTGCTGCACAGTAGGCAATGTTACAAAATGAACTGGCTCCAATGAGAAGACACTCAAATATATTTTCTATATTCCACGCCTCTAGTTTTCTAGTATAATCTCAAGTGAAATTTGCTGCACTAGTCTTTTCAGAAATGGTAAAGTGCTGCAACTCCATAGTATTAAACAGTCCTTAATGTCTTTCCTAAAAATGTTAGAGGAAGGAAAGAAAATGTAAAAGAAATCTGGAGTCCAAAAATAACTTTAACACGGGGTGACCATGCTCTGTCTGTAATGTTTGGTACTTTACTTGTTTCTGCTTGCAGTCCTCTGTCTTTCACCTGTGGTAATTAGCAGTGTGCATATCCCATTCTGCTGAAATAAATGCCTCATTCACCTTTTGTGTCTTAATGATACCACAGGGTGAGCAAGTGCACTTCACGTTCTCTGTTTAATTTTTAAGGCTGGAAAACGCTCTTCTTCAGCAAAAGAAAGTGGTATTTGTAATGTTAGTTGGTAAAGCCTAAAAACTTCCCTAGGGGTTTTCACGGGCCATTGGGAGCAAATGCCCAGCTTGCAGGTCAAAATCCACAGCACTGCTAGAACCTATGTACGTAAAATCTGTTGTGCTCCATTGAACACTGTATTTTCTCCTGTCTTGTTTTGACATTACTCACAGCGAAACAGCCAAATCAATCTAGACGAATTCAATCCTTCCTGGGTGGAAAGCAGGAAAACTGTTAAAAACCCCGTTACTTTGCAGAGATTTGCAACGCTCAAAAATGTATGGCGGTCGTGTTTATTGTGGAGGGAGGGCAAAAATTCTGTTTGAAAGCTAAGAACCCACTCTCTGCTTAGGACTCAGTGCTTTCAGGGGAAACAGTATTGTCAATAATAGACAGGTTTTATCTTTTTGCTAACTCTCCTTTTTAGGCTGGTGCAGCTTCTTTAAAACTTCCGGATGGTCACGTGAAGTTTTTTTCGTGCCCCAGTTTTACACTGTGAAACTAACACTTGGCATCTGTGAGCAGGCTTGGAAGTGTTCAGGAAACCAAGAATGAGTTGGAAAAAGTGGGACACTCTTGTGCTCCCCCCACAGATACGCTGTAGAGGCTTCCTAATACTTCCAAAGAGAAAACAAGCACAGAAGCACTTGCTAACCACTGTGCACTGAGCTGTCACCTTCGATGTACCTTGGAAATACTGGCTGTTTCTTAAAGGGGAAGATGGAAAACAGAAAGTGTAGAGTTTCAGTCGCGTAGACTTTGTCAGAAAGCGCGGCTGTGATATGATTTCTGTCAGAAACAATCTGCTTGAAATTTTTCTGTCTTTACTTTTGAACACGGAGTTGCTTGTCTGTATTCTAACCCTAGGTGATGGGATCTGCTGCCTTGTCAGATAACATTTGAGTTCACTCACTACCTGCTTGTTGACTAGTGCACAGACTCACTGTGGTGGCAGGGAAAGCCTTAAGGCTACTCAGCATCTGTCTCTTCTTGTAATTAGTTGCAGCCTTGTGTACAGAGCAAAACAGAGATTTTTTTTTTTTATATATATATATTTTATTATTATTTTTTTCTGTGAAAGAGTAATGTGCACAGACAGGAGCTTTTAAACCGCAAAACAGTTTGCTAGTATTTGTCATTCTTCTTTTTCAAGAGGAAATAGCTTTTTATCTACTGAGAATAAAGTGTTGACATCTTTTTTTTTTTTTCAAATTACACCAAGGACATAGATTTTTGGGAAAGCTAACCTTGATTGTAAATCTGAATAGGCAATATTTCTGCTCTTACATCTGACACACCTCATATTCAGGGGAGATAACTGGTGATCATGCTTCCTTAGACTCCTGCTCAGGTGATTTGTTGCCCCATGTAAGAGTGTGCTCTGCCAGCTATCTGATGATTTCTATACTTTAGGCATCCACCATGTGCTCTCATCACTGAAGGCTACTCAGAGAGGCCTCCTTGAAACAAACTTCAAGGAAAAAAACTTAGAAGAAGAAAGGATGGTTTTGAATATCTGAATGCCCGATTCACACAACAACCATTGCCTAAAGTTAAGAAGTGTGTGTGTGTGTGTATTCCTGGGATTTAGTTTTGTTTTTCATACAGTGTCACAATTAATTTCTCGTGGAGCTGTTGCTTGTGGTAGTTTGGTGTGAGAGCAGGAGACACACTCTGGGATTGTTAGAAGGATTTGATCTGGTGCTGTAGATTTGAATCTCTTGCAGCACCATATTTTTTTTTTTTAGTGTAAAAATCTGTCAAGAAAAAGAGCCGCGTTGTGATAATTCTTAAAATTTATAAAAAATGTGGGCAGTAGGTTGGTGTAGTACACATAAATCATCATCCAAGGTGTAAACCACCCCTAACTAATAAAGATGGAAGCAAACTTTCTGCAGGGGAAAATCGTTCTCTAATTGCTTGTAGCCGAATTTCTTCTGCAGCAGCTGCCATCAGCAGTGGGACTTGATGGATGTAAGTGTTGCTATGGTAGTCTCTAAATATCAGAATTTCAAAGACCTTATCCTCATCATTAACAGCAATGAGGTTTATGACATGAAACAGAAAACCACATTTCTTCCATTTCTTACCCTTTTTAAGAGTAATCCTACATGAGATATAATTTGGGTAATGTAACTGCGTTATTTTAAAAATCAATTCCCCGGATTAAAATATGTCATAAAGATATCTCTGAATTTGTTTAGAGATTATTATTTAGTATTAATTTTATATTAGAGCTGAGCTAGATTTTTTCACGTAAAATTTTGAGATGAGGTAAGCTACATTTTTGATGTGCCTCAGCAAAGACAAACAGACTTCTAGATGGCCCTACATAGGTATCAAATTAATCACATAAGAATAATAAAATGAAAAAGTTGTATGTCCTTTTAGGATATTTAAAGTGACTTTTGCGAAGTTCCTTAGAACTTAATGAATGTTTTCAAAGGTGGCTTATGCACATGGGAGCCAAGATTCAAATCTCAAGTCAGTGGGAAACTTGGGAGAGTTTTAATCTGTACTGATTCCTTGCTGTGTGGCACTTCTTACCATGCTCTGTGGCACTGGCAGCAGACTGGTGAAACAAATGTGCCTTTGTGATTAGAGAAATAAGATTCCAAGTAAGCAGGTGTGATCCCTTGCCTCTCCTGTGCTGCTAAATGGACAGGAGACTCACATTAGGTGTTCTGGAGAAGTGGTTCCCAGTGTGGGGAACCCTGAGGGTTACTAGAGTAGTGGTATGTTTTTCTTTCTTTTGATTGTGTTACTAGATAAAAGCAAATTTTTTAAAAACCCAGTAGTTTAATCCTGCTTATTTTGGTAATGATTGAATGTTTATTCTATTAACTCATCTCAGTTAATTCTATGAAATTGGCTTGATGTTCTTGATGGCTTGCACTGGACAAGTAGAAGAGACAGAGCTCTCAGCAAGGTACCAAGAATAGTGCTGACTGACACATCTGATCACTCAGTTCAGAGAAGGAATGGTATTGTTTGTTCATCCCCCTGTCCAACACCTGTATTCTCATTTAGTTTCTGTGGTCTTATTCTGTGAAGCTCACATGCTTCACTTGGGAGTTTCCTACACAGACTTATTAGATTTCATTACCAGGCCTTTTTTTTTTTTCCCTTTTAAATATCTGTATTGAAATTTTAAATTCTTTGTTTCAAGTTGCTGTTGTTCATCCTATCTCACACAGCACTCTGATAATCCTTTCTGTTGGTTATAGTCTTGGTCTGATAGATTTCTGGCCCCTTCTGTCATCCCTGCTAAGGAGGATGAAGATGATTGAATAAGCAGAGAAAATTAATTTTGATCTACTGTCTGCTGACCTAAAGAGACACACAGGCAAAT